AAAAAAAAAAAAAAAGAAAAAAAACATAAAAATGCGAATAACATTGACGATAGCACATTACCCCCCCGATTTATGTTGTAACAAATATTGTAAAGGCAGGTATGTACATTCGATTAATACCAAAGTGTGCGGAATTTCATGTGAACACGGAAACGCTGAATTGTAAATATCTCCTTTATCCCTCCACTTCCTTTTGCTCCTAACCTCGTTGTCGCTAATTAGTGGTTCGTTTTAGTGGTGATTCGTTAGGTGTATAGAATCGTACCACCACTCCCTTTGTATTGTATGTATATGATTCGGGAGGGACAACACCGTAGACCTAACGTTTCGTAATCTATTCGAATCGTCTTCGAATTTGTATAATATTTCTATACCGGCGCACACGTAATAAACTGTCCAATTAAACTATTCGTCTCTTTAATTAATTTACACCCTTCTCTCCTTAGACGAAGAGTGTTCTATATTTCACCATTTTTTTTTTATTTCTCTATGATTCTTAAAAGAATTTAATTTTGTAATATTCACAGTATGTAACAAAAATAATAATATAATATTTCCATTGGGAAGATATTTTATTGTAATAATAGATTGTAATATAGTTTCACATATTTTATTTAAATTATTAGGAATTTCTTTTACAATTAACTGCGTTGCCAAAAGTATTACAATAAACTTTGTTTGAGCTAATTAGTTATTACAAATGACATTAATTATTCATTATAAATATTGTATATATTAGATATTGATTGAAAAAAAATGCAATTATCATACCTAATATTATTTAAATTATATTACTGATTATAAGAAGAATTAGTGAGCAAACATATGTATGTGTGACGTACTTTTAAATATATTATATTTACCTAATTGAAATAAATTGTTCAGATAAGAAAGAATAGCTTTCTTTATCAAGTAAGACAAGAATCCAAGAAATTTTTAAACTTTAACATTGGTATAATAGGTATCCATCGACTTTAAATGCAGTACATTACAAAATGTGTTAACTAAAATAAATTCTGATAAGAAAAAAATATAGATTCTAAACAACCATAGTAAAACATATTAAACCAGGTATGTACGTAGAAAAACATATCTATTCACATGTAGAAAATAGTATTTCAAATCTTAAATTTTATCATTTATCAATAAGGCTAAGCCTCCTAATATTATGAAAAATAAATGCAACAATTGTATCGATAAATAAGATACAATCGGAAATTTAACCGACGACAATAAAATTGAAGCCTATTGAGCATATAGAAGACAGTATATAAAAGTTACAACAACGATATTTCCAACTTCATAATTCATAATTCTAGAAATTTTACTCAGTGATTTATATTGTATATAAATCACACAAATTTTACCTTACCTTAAGTACTGTCTGAACATTCACGTAATTGATTAATTGTATCTTATACATACAACAAGAACATACTAAATATTGAACATATAAATATTGAATATCTCACATAACTATATATCCAACATGAATTGTGTGTATATATAATATGTATGTATATATAATATTATCTAATCTAACATTAAATAATAGAAACAATCTTGTACATTGATGTAATAATAAGCGTACAGTATGAGTGAGCTTACAATTATAGGAATGTATATCGCACAAAAAATGTGGAACAATTATTGTTCAGCTCTCAGCTTCAATGAGCGAAGATTTTTATGGCATACTTTCTAGACAACTCTTGATATGCTGCCAAGCTTGCAGTCCCTGCAATTATTTATAAAAACATCGATTCATTTATGCAAACTAATTAAATAACAATATATAACATTTTACCTTTCTAGTAAGTTTAAATTGTAAGATGCAGTAAGCTGCCAAAATTTCTTTTAAATCTACTACTTTTTGATGTTGAAATCTTTCTATGTCCATCATTGCCTTAATTGAGAAAGATCTAGAAATATTACATACAAAACATAAAAAAATTTATTATACACAATATATTTTATACAACATGAGTACACATAAAGTATTTAATTAAAATACATTACTTTAAATCTTCATCTACTCGTTTGACAGCTTCTTCGTGTTGTGCAATTCTTTGTTCCAATTGTAGCATTTTTAATTCACGAACTTCTTCCGTATCCACGGATACAAACAATCTTGACATTAAACCTGATTTACCTACAACAATAAACTATATTATATCAAAAAATATTTTTAAGATTAATAGTAATAGTATTTCAAATAATTCAAAACCTTGTATAACTTTTTCTTTTTGTTCAAGTGCTGCAGTTAAAGCATCATGAGCTTCATCTTTGGCTAATTGTAAAGCTTCTCTTCGTTTGACAACTGCTTGTAATGCAGAAGCACCAAACAACCATTCTTTTAACTGATCTGCTATTAATTCCTCTTCTTCAAGAGTTGTATCTATTGTCGCTGCTAATGAATCCAAGTAGTGACCCGATTTCTAAGAAAACAGGCTGTAATGCAGTGCGCTTTGCAATATATATGCTTGTATTATACTTTAACTAATATTTTATCACTTAGAACTTTCTCAAAAAATTGGTCGTTCTAACTTTTGCAGAAGTGTTAAGAAATATTCATATGTATAAATTTAAATACCTGTAGCCCGTCACCCATTTCTCTTTCTATAGCACTCCATTCACTAAACACACGACCATAATTTGCATGTAATTTGTACAAACCATGTTGTTTTTCTACAAGTCGCGCACGTACTCGAAGTAGGTTACATAAATTATTCTGAAATATTAAATAAATATGTATCATAAAAATTTATTTATTTTTTTTTTATTGATAAGTATACCTGAAGTTCAATTCCATAATTTTTGATTGTTTCAAATCGCTTATCTGGTTTTCGTAAACGCACTGCTACACTCAGTGCTTTTAATTTTGATTCTACCAATTGCAAATAACCTATCATAACATATTAACGATTAAAAAAATACTCATAATAAACGTAGATAATAAGATATGTATTTCTTTGATAAAATACATAATTTACCAGTCTCTTTAATGCTTTCTCTCCAACCATCCTTTTGTTGCAAAAATCCCATAAAATGCTCATCACGAGATAGTATTGGATGTGAGGCTACCCTCAATAGAAAATTCTTAGAAATAAATTTAGAATAAATATTAAATAGATATTTTTAAATGAAGAGAAAGACAAATGAATAAATATAAATAATATACCTCAAGACCAACTCTTCGTCTGTCAACAAAATCTGGGTCAAATGTATCAGTAGTGACTTTTTGCCATGCATATAAAACCTTTTTTTCTGGTAATGGAGGCAGTACAATATATGGATAAGAAATTTCTAAATAAGCTCGAAGCAGTTCAAATTCTGTGTACCGGCGCCATAGAGAACTTACTTTGGTGAGTGCGCCTTTAAAGTCTGGATCTGTAACTCTACAATGATTATTTTATATATTATATATATAATATGATAATTATATATAATATTATATTTATTATATACATATCAAAATAACTTTTACAAGGAGAGATAATTGAAAATTAAATGGATCAAAATATAAAAATTCACTTACTTAGTCTCAACGAGGTAGACTGTATAAAACTCTCTTAAATTCAGTGCTCCATTTGCTCGCTTTTCTGTTTCAACTATTGAGATTTCCATGTGATCAAGTAATACGTCCTAGTACACACAATATAAACAATGATGGATACCAAAATATACGGAATATAACTGTTTCATTTTAATGTGTTTGTATAGTAATTTATGAAAATAAATAAATCAAGTACAAATAAATAAATCATAATTTATTTTTAATATCAATAATCAGCAATTTCATATTTATTAGCTTTCAAAATTAGAAATGCTAATTTTTTCAATTCGCACTATTATCACCAGATTACCTAATAAAATGATTTAGTAATATCTAACTTCAAATTTCTGTATATCTATTTAGGATATCATGGGTTTAAATACCCTTCACATACTGTAGATGCCGCCAACACTAGTACAGTGATGCTCAACCGAATAATTCATGACCTAGTTCGACATTTTTTCAAATAAAATAAAAAATGCATACTTTCTACCATAGTAATACAAATAATTTCCGTCAAACAATGCAACACTATTTACTTTTTATGTATTCAAATAGTACAAATATTTGAAAATAGTTTTATTAAAGTTAATCCACATAATATACATTTGATACATTAAAAAAACGTGACATAAATGAAATAATAACAGGAACGTAATTACAATGTATCAAAAGTAAAGCTGTGTAATAATGTCAGTCAAAAAAAAAAAAAACAGAGCGACAATAACAAAACATGAGAATCACTGCGCGTTATTTCGATTCTTTCGCAATACACGTACATTTTCAGTGTTGTTGTCTGTCGTTCCTTCAATTTAAACAAATGTAATTTTGCAGTTCGTAAAAATAATGCGAGGGTCTTCCTAGAAACTCGTTCAAATGAGAACGCGTTCAAAATTATAGCGTCAAGCGACGTATTGATTTGGCGGACGAATTGAAATAGTCAAGTAATCGAAGAGTTTCTTACCTCTTTTTGCGTCTCCATAGTAGTCATGTTCGCATTCGATTCTCTCTGATAATTCCCGTTCTGAAACACTTCTTCCATGATTCTGTGCCAGCCTAAAAAATCTACGAAGCGGCGACGGAACTTCGAAGCCTTTCACATCACGTCCACTTTCTCCATTACTGACAGTGTCACTTTATTCGATAGAAGAGCGCTGTACGTTGCGCCAGGCTAAATTCCCTTTTAAACGTTTGTCCGGAGGCATTTCGTTGGTTCCTTTGGCATGTTTGTTGCAATTCGAATAATTAATTCGGTGGAAGAAATTTGTTTAAAACATAATTATATTCTACAAAATAATAACACTTTTTATGTAGTTTTTGATCGTGCTCTAGGGAATTTTAAGAATTCCATTGAAACCGGAAGTTTTTGAAATAGTTGCGTAGGATGATAATAAGGGATGGAATAATTTGCGCATGCACCAGTTTAACGCGTGTAAAATCACGTCTTGTACTTAAATACTTTTTCGTTAGTAAATTTATAATTTGTTTCAGAAGAAACTGAAAGTCGTAGAAACACAGTGAAGGTAATTATACATAATACACATAATGTTGTTTGTTTATTTAAGGGAAGTAATAATTTTCTGGAAATTGTGTAGTTGCGTTTGACATATGCAATGGAATAAGAATTTAAATTTGTTAACCATTAAATATTTCTTGAGATGAATACTTTTTATTAATTTGAAATTTGAAAATTTGGATCCTATTTATTATTAAATTAATCATATATATTATATAATATATATTGATAATAATGATTAATAATTAATGATTAAATTTATTATAATATTGTTTATATGAGTGATTTATAAACATAAGTTTATAAAAATATAATAATATTTGCTAATATTCGTATAAGTTAATTATGAAATATATTATAAATTGATTTATATTATATCACATTCAAATTAAGTTTGACATAACTAGAGAATATTTTTTGGATTCTATACTTTATATTACAACAAAGAAGTTTAAAAATATAGTATAGCATAACAATTTATCGTAGCCAGTGTAATGTAATGTAATACAATATTTCATGTAAATAGTAGTATATGTAATAATTGTCAATACTAGAATAGAGATTCATATTCAAAATTCAACATGGAATTTAATTTGTGCACTTGTAATTATATCTTCGATATATTTTGTAACAATTTCGAATGTAGTTTGTCGGAAATTAAATTATTAGTTCGATCTATTGAATTCTATTTGAAAATCTTTATACATGCATTCCGTACGTTAAACGAAATATAGAAGAAAAACTGATCTAATTATGAATATTAGCAACCATGGAAGATCATAACAATCTTTTGATTATGGTTATGAAACGCTACCACCACATAGCGGTGAAATGATGGAACTAATTTTTAATATTGTCTTTGTTGCACAGTAACGTGTTCCTTGTTCATGA